GAAATAAAGGCCAGAGATCCCAAATGAGGCACCCGAGACTGCAACCTAATCGATCTCCCCAGAGCGCTGATCGCGGGGCAAGCGAAATGCTCGCTCTGGAGTTACGGGCCGCTGCCTCCGCTGCACGGCTGTGGAGCCGGACTTAGAGCTGGTGCCGCGGCGCAGGGAGAGGCACGGGTCCTCGGCGCCGAGAGATGTGAGTGGGAGCCGCAGTCGCTCCGAGAGGGATCCGGAGGTCCCAGCCTGGCGGACGCTCGGACCCCGAACCCGTGCCCGCTGCGGGGGCTTCGCAGACCTCGACCGGCCGGAGGCGCCCGGTAGGAGCAGCCTGGGGTCTGGGGGCGCGTCCTCGTCGCCCGGTCCGAGCAGCGGGTGGGTGTCATTGCCGTCTGCTCCCGGGTGGGGGACAGCCCTGGTCTCTCCACCAACCCTCCCACCTCCCGGTCCCCGCTTTCCCCCCCCTCTGCTTGTGGCAGTAAACTTGACAGCAAGGAAAACCGTCCTCTTGGGGAAACGACGGAGTGTTTTGCTGTTGCTCTTTGCATCCATGTGCGCCCGATCCCCACCGCCCACTACCCCTCTTTAAAATCTTCCAGGCACCCAAACTGCCTAGAGAAGAAACGAGCATTTCCCTTGGATTTCTGCGGTAGTAACTTCTTCTTCTTTTTTTTTTTAGGTTTCAGAAACAGGCAAGGGAACAAGATGTGAACTGTTTTCCTTCTGCAGAACAAGAGGCCCTTCCTCCCCTTCCCGCGAAGGTAGGTGTGCGATCTTGGCTGCTGGAAAGGTGAGGGTGTCGCGAGCCGCGAGTGCGAGGGTAGGAAGGTGGGGAGCGTGTGTAGACCGGCAGGGCTCATGGCTTCTTGCTCCTCTGAAAATGGCAGAGCTGAACTTTTAACGTTGGTCTGGGAGGGTCTGTTGGGGAAGGAGGGGGGAGAGGGTTGTTTATTGTTGTTGTGGGATCCTTTAAGAAGCATTCATTGTTTCTTTCTCTGCTGACTATTCAAATAAACGTGGCTTTGCAGAAAAAAACAAACACATTGTTACTCTTTCTCTTCGAGCAGCCAGAGTGTCTTGATCTTTCAAGGAGGAACATTTTCGAGGACTGAGAGATAACCTATTGAGAGAACACGTTAGCCGTTCTTGCTGGGGTTTCTGCTGCCACATTGAATGCTTCCTGTGATGGTTTTATCTGCCTAAGTTTGCTGTGTCGGTTGAATTTACCCCGTTTGCTTTCCGGTGGTTATTAATCTGACAGGAGAAACTCTTTTCTTTCTTTCTTTCTTTTCTTCTTTTTTTTCTGAATGAAGCAGCTAAGGTGTGTCATGCATAGTGGGAAGGAGAAATGTGGAGAAGGAAACCAGAAGTGGGAATAACAGAGGTGACGATGGCTTTTGGTTTCATAATAGATTTGTGTGATGGAGTTTTTGGGCTACTGCAAATATTCTGATATCACACCCAGCAGATTTGAAGGTGGATAATCAACCTTTGGTCTCCCACTCCCCACCCTCTTCACCTTTTTACCACTTAAAGTGCAAGAATCATTTGCTTGTATACGTGCATATGTGTTAGTGTATAACAAACATATCTGCAAACTGGATGTGTCCAACACTTGCCTTAATAATACATGTGTTTACCTGTATAGGAAAGTTCCACTATATAAGCATATGATGCTTGTTTTTGCTCTAGTAGAATGACCTGTGTTTGGAGTTTATAGTGTTTTTTTTTTAGAGGCCATTTAAGGAATAGTACGGGGGGGATATTGAAGGACCATTGTTTGATTTGAGACAGTGTCTCAGGTGTGGGATGGGAACTGATATCTTTTCTCTACCTTCACCTGGCTGTATTGCTAAAAGGTGGCAGAATAGGAAACAGCATTGGCTTTGAAGTCAGGTCTGGGTTGAATCCTGGTGTTGTATTACATAAAATCTCATTGAGCCTCACTTTTCTTATGGTTGTTGTGAAGATTGAATAGGAATATGCATGCAAAGTAGTACATTGCTTGGTTACTATAAAAGTCTTGGCTGCTATCATGGCTGGACAGGCCAAGGAGACTCAGAGAAGGACAGAATGACTCTGCATAAGGTGATCTGCCAGTGACCAGTATTGTTTCCTCTTTAGTAAAAGGACAAAAAGGACTTTTGGGTCTTATTGGTTAAGGGATTTTATAATCTCTTTATGGAAAGATTGTACTTATCTCCTTGACACCCCCTCCCACATTGTGCTGTCCCCACCAACTTTGTGCTGCCCTCTTGTGGTTAATTATGCTAAGAACTTTCTTTTGCTCCTCCCACATTGCATTTTTTTTTTGGTCTCTTTTTAGGCCCCTTCCCTTTGCTCCCAGTTTCCCAAATTGTGCGCTGAGTGAGGTGCCCCACAGTACCAGTGAACTCAGGCCTGAACTGTTTGTTTGAGGTAGTTCATAGTTTTAACATTAAATTGACACATTCCTTTCTACAATGTCATGTCTTTGCAAAGTTGCGTTTTAGAGGTCGCTGTGTTAAAAAGCAAATACTGCATGAAAATTAATGATACAGGCAAGGAGAATGTGATGTCCGATTTAATTCCAAGGTCTGAGAAGTTGTACAGTGCCCAACACTAAGTTTTAAGGACATTAATACTGAGGTGGTTTGAACCTACCTACCTGCTTAAGCATTTCTTTTGGCCTAGGGCTCCTATGAAAAAATTACTAAGACTGAGGACTTCCTAAATGGAGAAAGTTTGAGAACCTTTCAAGCCTTATCTTTTGGTTGGCTTTTCTGATTTAAAAATTTTTTAGTTAATGGAAAAACCGCATTTTTAAAATGTTGGTCACTAATGGATCCCCTCTCCACCAAAATTATTGATACCGTTATTGATACGAGGCTAGTATCAACTGATCATGGCTTAATATAGTTCCTTTCCTGTTCATTATCTTCATAGCTTCTGCTCATTTCTTTCATTTTAAAACTAATCTTGTTGCCCATTTGTCATTCTAGTCATAGTACTGGTTTTCTAGTATATTTGATCATCTCCTCATACTCAACATCCCTCAAATGAAAATTATTATTTTATATCCCTTTGTGATTTTCTTCTCTCCTGGTTATATAGGATTTAAATTAGGGATCATTTTAAAACTATCTCTTTCATATTAACCCATTCAACATTTCCTGTCGATATTTCTTTGTCCCTCTACTCTGCTTCCCTCACTTTACCACCTGAATCCCAGGACTCATTTCCTCAGCCTAGAATATTGAAAGTCATAGCAACCTCTCAGAATCCAGCATCTCTTCCTTCTAGTTATCTTTAATAAAAATGTCACTATAGCTCTAGCCAGTTGCTCAGTGGTTAGAGCGTCAACCTTTGGACTGAAGGGTGCCAGGTTCAATGCTAGTCAAGGGCATGTACTTCAGTTGCAGGCTTGACCCCCAGTCCCCATTCAGGTATGTGTCTCTCTCACATCGATGTTTCTTTCTCTCTGTCTCTCCCCCTCCCTTCCATTCGCTCTCTCTAAAAAAAAGAAAAAAGAAAAAATATCCTTTGGTGAGAGTTAACAAAAAATAAAAATATCACTCGATTACTCCTTATTGTTGTTGTTCTCTTGCCCCATATCTTCACTAGCTTCCCACTTTATACCTATTAAATTTAAGTTCCTTTTTCTTGCTTTCAAGATACTCTATCATCATTCCTTACCCTATTTATTCAGTGTTTTGTCTAAGGACCCTCTGTAAGCATTCTCTGCTATTGACTTGCAAGCTGCTTTTCACACTTTCTAATAGCAGCTGTGCTTATTTCCAACTTTTAACTTTCATTCACTTTTTTCATACTTTTTCCACCAAGGCCCAGTTCTGTATCCTATTGCACTGCTTACTAGACATGGGATAATTGAGCAGGGCTTCAGTCTCCTCATCTGAAAAATGAGGAGAATTATAGTATTTTTTCCTTAGGGTTGTAGTGAAAATTGAGTTAATACATGAAAAGTCCTCAAGACCAGTGCCTGGCACATTAAGCACACCTTAAGTTTTAGGAATTATTATAATGATTTATTACCACTCCTATTATTACTACTATTATTATCACTGTACTTCCAGTTAAAATTCTATCTCATTTGTGAAACTGTTTCACTAAATATTGCTTTACCCCTTCACTGTATTTCTATAATTTCTATTTTTGCATAGTTTACTTGTATACCATGCTTTGGTTGTTTGATAGTTATTTCCCTAGAGTTAACCATATTTTTTCAGATCGATAGTGTGTGCTTTGATGAACAATACCTAGAATTAAACCAGCACACTCACAGCCCAACCAGTGTGGCTCAGTGGTTGAGCGTTGACCTATGAGCCTGGAGGTCCCAGGTTCGATTCCTGGTCAGCGCACATGCTCAGGTTGCAGGATCGATCCCCATTGGGAGAGAGAGAGAGAGATAGAAACATCAATGATGAAAGAGAATCATTGATCAGTTGCCTCTTTCACCCCCCCACTAGGGACCGAGCCTGCAACCCAGGCATGTGCCCTTGACCAGAATCGAACCTGGGACTCTTCAGTCCACATGCTGACTCTCTATTCACTGAGCCAAACCGGCTAGGGCCAATAAAAATATATTTTTTTAAAAAGCACACACAGAGTGCTAAGCACATGGGGAGCATTCAGTAAATGCTGTGTATTAAAAAGGAACTTTAGTCAGTCACCAAATATTTATTAATACTTACAATGTAAAAGGTACAAATATTTATTAATACTTACAATGTAAAAGGTACATTGCTATGTCCAAAAGACTTGCAGAAAAATATTAAATAGGTTCCTTTCACTGAGGACTCAAAATGTAATTGGGGAGATAAGTAATGAAAGTTACAGATATTTCAGGCCACAAGTGAGCAAAAAGCCTCCACAGAGGAGGTAGAATCAAATCTAGGCAAAATTTGATTTTGCATAAAAGGAAGGAACTTGTATAGGGGGTAAACAAAGGCAAAATATGCAAGACACGTTCAGAGAACATTACATAAAATAACTTGATTAAAATGAAGTATTGTATGGAGAGTAGTAAGAAATCTGGTTGAAAATGTAAGTTGGCTCAGTGGATAGAGCGTCGGCCTGTGGACTGAAAGGTCCTAGTTTCGATTCCGGTCAAGGGCATGTACCTGGGTTGCGGGCACATCCCCAGTGGGAGATGTGCAGGAGGCAGCTGATCGATGTTTCTAACTATCTATCTCTCTCCCCTCCTCTCTGTAAAAAATCAATAAAATATATTTTTTAAAAAAAAGAAAAAATGTAAGTTGGAATTAGATTATGGATGCCTTTAAGAGCTGGGATGAGAAGAATGTACTAGTACTTGTATCTCTAGGTAACAGAGAAATTTTTAAAACTTTGGATTGAGAAAGAGCTTGCTAAGAGAAGTATTTTAGGAAAATCAGAGAGGCTCCAATGTGAGGCATAGTATGTGTTGAAGTGATATGTGAGAAGTGATAGAGTAGGAAAATAATCTAGGCCTGAAGTAATGAGGATTTGCACTTAGTGGGGGTAAAGACAGAGAGATGTCACACAAGATTTCATTATAGATTGTATAGGAAAGGAAGATGTGGGGCGGGGTTAAGGGAGGCAGGGAGGAAGAAGAGTAATCAAAGATGACTTTGAGATTTTGATCTTCTGTGACAGAGGAAATGAAGTGTTGCAACTGTAAGACATCTGGGCCACAATATATATATTTTGTGCGTTAAGAATATGAGAACCAGAGAGATGTAAGTGTGTCCAAAATTGCTCAGCTAGTTAGTGACAGAAATAA